AGCAGGTTTTGGCCGAGTTCAAACCCACCAGCCCTGTAGCATGTGGCTGGTGCCCTAACCACTGAGCAATGGGTACCGGGCCAATGATAGCTTCTTGAGGATAGGAGCTTTATCTTATTCATCTTTGGGCCCCAGTGCTTAGAATGGTGTCCTTAGTAAAGTTCTGTGAACATTTGGGAAGCTGAGTTCAATTACATGAGTCTTTTTTGCTCATTCTTCCACCTCAGGGTGATAATACCAAGGTCCCTAGCCCCTCAGTCTTCCCCTTTCCTGTTCCTTATCACCTTTCTTTCTCCTCTTTCTTTGCAGAGGCTCTAGGGGCCATAGAGTTTGTGGCTGACCCAGCAGCCCTGGCCACTATCCTGTCAGGTGAGGGAGTGAAGAGCTGTCAACTGGGGTGCCGTCCCAGTCTGGCTCAGAGAGTACTGGTTCGAGGGAGTCAGGGAGGCACCATCCGAAGGGGCCAGGTAATGAGACAGGGTGTGAGGAGATCAGGCTGGGGTAGGCTGAGGAGGGAATCTTGAGCCTCTGCTAATAGCCTCTGTTGGGATCCCAGAGTGCTCGGTCCTCTGCATATTTGGCTCCCAGAACCCCTACCCACCAACTGGACCCTACCAGGGCTTCCTGCTTTTCAAGGCTGGAGGGATCAGGACCTCGAGGCCGGACTTTGTTCCCCCAGAGGCTAGAGACTCTGGTGAGTACCCTTGAGGGGCTGATGCTCTGCTTGTGGAAGCTCCTTTCAGGGATAAAGCTGAGCCCTGAGAGAGAAGGTACCTCATGGTGAGCCAAGGGATTCTATGGGGGGCAATGGGGTTGGTGGTGGGGCCTGAAGGAAGACCCACTTCTGAGTCTGCTTTCTTCTCTTGTTCCTATGGATCAGATTTCACCGTCAGGATCTTCCTTTTACCCTTCCACTGGCCCCTGTTTCCAGGAGCTAAGAAGAGAGACAGGTGGCAGCAGCCGGTGAGAAGGAGAGGGTATGGGAGAAGGTCATTTGGAAAAGAATGAGCTAATGTATGATACAGGGCTCCCTAGATCTAGGGCCTTCCAGTAGTTTTAGGACTTCTACCAACCCAGGAGGGGAAAGGGATATCTGTAACTTCCCAAGGTGAGTCCTTGGAATAGGGTTCAGGTCTTCATAGCCAGGCCTCAGTATGACATCCAGTTTCCACGAGGAAACTGGAGGGGGCGATGAGGAGGGCAGAAATATGCTGTGTCTTTTGTTCAGTAGTTGTCTAGTAGAACTTAGGCTATGGCAAGAAAGGGAATTTGGGTTTAATTCCTGACTCTCTTATCACTTACTAATGTAAACTTGCCTTAACCTCTCTGAGCTTTGGTTTCTTTTTTGGGACAGAGTCTCACTCTGTCGCCCTCAGTAGAGTGCCATGACGTCACAGCTCACAGCAACTTCCAACTCTTAGGCTTAAGCAATTCTCTTGCCTCAGCCTCCTGAGTAGCTGGGACTACAGGTGCCCGCACAACGCCCAGCTATTTTTGTTGTAGTTGCCACTGCTGTTTTAGCTGGCTGGGGTGGGGTTCGAACCCGCCACCCTTGGTATATGGGGCCAACACCCTACCCACTGAGGCATAGATGCTGCCCTGAGCTTTGGTTTCTTTATCTGTCAAGTAAGAATAATGTTTGTAGCACTGTTAGAAGTTGCTGTGAGAATGAAATGAGATGTTTGTAAAGCACTTAGCACCTGCCCAGCTCATACTTGGTACTCAGTGACTGCAAGCTGCTGTCCTTGTTATCATCAGGACTTCAGTGAGCGAGGCCTCAGGATTGCTTCTGGAGACCCCTGTCCAGCCTGGTGAGTGTGTTTGACTGTGGGCAGAGAATAGGAGCAAGTAGTCTGCCCACAGCAGGGAACAAGACAAGAGAAAGCTCAGCAAAGTATCTCAGAGAGTGGAAGAAAAAGTATCCAATATACACAGCCCTATTTTGAAACTAATTCATAGCTTTCATAGGAATTTCATAACCTAATTATAGCCTTAGAATGTGGGAAGGGGTGTGGGAAAGGGGAGGTAAGAGAGGTGGATGGGGGGAGAGAGGGTGATGGGTGGGGTCACCTCTATGGTTTATCTTACAAAGGTACAAGTGAATCTTTCTAAAAGCAGAGTATGAATGTCTTAACTCAGTAACTAAGAAAATGACATGAAGGTTATGTTAACCACTTTAATGAGAGTATTTCAAAATGTATATGAAAACAGCACACTGTACCCCATGATTGCATTAAGTATACAATTATGCTATAAGAAATAATAAAGGAAATTTGAATGGTAAAAAAAAAAAAAGAAAGCTCAGCAGGCTATGGGGAGTGGGGCAAGTGAGGAAGAGGGGAGGAGTACAAAAGGAGTCCCTGCCACTTTCTGCAAGATTTACCTTCACTCAGTGTTCTATCCCTAGCCCCTAAGGGCCATTACCACACCTACAACCCACTCAGACTGTTCAGATTCATAAGTGTTTAGTGACATAATTTTGAACTTTGAGGGCCCGCTAGATGTATCCCTGTCTTTAACGGTGCAGTGGGGGCTATTAAATGAGTGTTCCCTCTTCAGAAGTTGCAAATCCCTGTGCCAGACTTTGGTGGATTTTCTAGACACTACAGCAAATTTCCTATTTCTTCCTAGCTTCCTCTCTCCCTAAAGGAGAACATGAGGTTGTCATTCACTCAGATGAAGGAAGAGTGGCCTCCCTTGGTCTGGCCCAGCGGGTACCACTAAGAGAATCCCAAAAGATAACACATACCAGGGTGAGCTGGGACCTTCCTGGAATGGGAGGTGGAGGTGAGAGGCACAGGAGATGCTTGGGGGAATTCCACAGTAGCAGCCAATACTAAGGATTGTGGGCAATCCTGGGCCTCACAATGCTATCGGGTCTGGGTTTGCCCCAAATGGGCCCCAGCCCTCTCCAGTGTGGTACTGACCTCTCTTTACCAGGTGTCTGGGGCCTGGAGTGAGAGGTTAAAGACTGGTATGTATCAGATCAATGCTGAGGGTAAGACAGATGTGACACTTGTCAGCCTAAAGCATTTATCCCTTCACTTCACAAATATTTAATGAGTAGCACCAGCCACTGAGTGCCAGGCACTGTTCTAGGATATGGACATGTAGCAGCAGGCAAGTTCATGTTCTATACAGAAGAGAGAGACAAAAAATTAACACACGTGGGGCAGGTGTGATGGCTCCTAGCACTCTGGAAAGCCGAGGCAGTAGATTGCCTGAGCTCAGGAATTCTAAACCAGCCTGAGCCAGAGCAAGACCCTGTCTCTAAAAATAGGGCATTGTGGCAGGCACCTGTAGTCCCAGCTATTTGGGAGACTGAGGCAAGAGAATCGCTTGAGCCCAAGAGTCTGAGGTTGCTATGAGCTATGATGCCATGGCACTCTACTGAGGGTGACAAAGTAAGCCTGTCACACACAAAAATGTGAAATATATAGCATTTCACATGGTGACAAGTTATCTGTAAAAGAAAAATAATAATAGTGATAAGGCCCTGAAGAGGACTGGGAGTAGAGGAGCTGGTATTATACTTTGAAATAGATTGGTCAAGGGACTCTTGAGAAGATGATGTTTAAATGAAGACCGGGAGTTGAAGGAGTGAGCTATGTAGATAACTGAGGGAAGAACATTCCAGGCCTGGAGAACTGTGGAGGCAAAGGCCCACAGGATGGAATGTGCCTAGTGTGTTTGAGGATCTACAAAAGGAGAAGCCAGCAAGATTGGAGAACAGTGGGAAATGAGGTTATAGTGATAACAGGGTCAGACTGGGTAAGGACTTGTACAGCAGTCTAAGTCCTTACTTAGATTTTTCTTGGAATGAGTGGAAAGCTACAAGGAGAGGGGACAAACAGGAGAGTGACATGATTTGACTTGGGCCTTAAAAGAATCACATTGGCTATTGTAGCGAGAACATGACATAGGAAGGCAAAGGAAGATGGAGGTCACTCTTCCCCCCTTTTTCCTCTTCACAGGACAGCTGTGACTCCCACCTCATGCCTTCCCCTTCCCCTGTGGCCCAGCCCATGCCTAGTCATAAAGTGCCACCTTGTGTTACCCGTCCATCACCCTTTGGACGGGCTCAGCGTGTACCCTCCCCTGGCTTCTCAGCTCTGGTTTGTATTACCAACTCCTGAAGGAGGGTAAGGACAGAACATTCTGGCTGGAGATCCCTGCTAAGTCTAGGTTTTGTCCCTGCTCAGCCACCCACATCTCTCCCCAGAACTCATATTCAGTGTTGCGGCGTCTAGCAGTTCGACCCAAAATCCGGTTCACACCCATGCCATCAGTCCCCAGAGTTCAGCAGGTAAGGGAGGGCAGGGGAGGTACTGGCACAGGCCATAGCTGGAGGAAGAAGGAAATGGATGGGTATAGGGAGAGTTCAGACAGAGGCTAGGGGAGATTGGGTCCCATCTGTGGGTGCTGGGCCTTGCTGACCTCTTACTTCTGTCCCAGACCCGATGCTTGAGTGGCTTCTCCCCTCAGTACTGTCCTGAAGAGCCTGCTCTGCCCTGGGTAAGTATCAGAAACCTTCCCATGCTGAAATCTATCACTCTGTCCTCTTGGCCTGGAGACCTACAGAGTTTAAGGCAGATGTGTTCTCTGGAAAAGCTACCTAACCCTCCAGGACTCCCTGCTTCTCTGCTGCCCTATTCAAAGTCTGGGGCCTTTCAGTCAGGGATTTTGATCCCTTCATGAGGGTGGGACTCAGACTGGCCTTTTTGCTGCCCTAGCATGGCTCCCTCATATGCCCCCTTCCTTCACTATGGCAGGAGGAGATTGCAGTACGGTTATTTGACCAGGAGAGTTGTGTAAAGTCACTGGAGGGATCTGGGAAGCTATCTGCAGCCACCCCTTCTGGGCCCTATGCCAGTGGAACCCCCAGCCTCCCAGAGCTAAAGATGCAGGTGAGTGTTTGCAGGCAGCAGTTTCGATGTCTGGTTAGTAATCAGGGCTGAGGAAGGGAGAAAGCAGGGGTATGGGAAGAGGACAGTGGGGGTAAGCTCCCCCCATCTTGATATCACATTAGGATATTCTCTCCCACCACAGCGCATTAGTATCCTGCAGCAGCTGTTGAGACAAGAGGTGGAAGGGCTGGCAGGGGGCCAGGGGGCCCCCCTTAATGGAGGCTCCCCTCTGGATATGGTTGAACTTCAGCCCTTGCTGACTGAGATTTCTGAAACTCTGAAAGATCCTGAGCATAATGCTGGAACTTCCCATGTTCCTGGATTGTTAGAGCACTCTGGGCAGCAGACAAAGCCTTGCCTTCCAGAACAGTGTGAAGAACCACAAGCCTGCCTTTCAGCAGAGCCAGGAACCCCAGAGTCCTACTATAGAAGTGAGCCTGAGATTCCAGAGCCGTCCCCCCAGGAACAGCTTGAAGTATCAGAGCCCTGCCCTCTAGTGGAGTCCAGATCCCTTCAGCCCAGTCCTCAGGGACCGACTGGGTCCTCAGAGCCCTGCCCTGGGGTAGAGCCCAGGACATCAGAGTCCTGTTCCCTGGAACCTCGAAATCCAGAGTCCAGCCCACCGCCCTGCTGCAGTCAGTGGGCTCCGGCGACCACCAGCCTGATCTTCTCCCAACACCCACTCTGTGCCAGCCCCCCTATCCACTCAATCCAGTCTCTGAGGCTTCCAGCAGGCCAGGCAGGTAAGGAGTTTCTTGGGAAGGGGTGTGAAGAAAGGACGGCTTCATCTCTCAGTGCAGGCTGGGCCCTTCTCCCTCAGGAAAGGGGAGGAACTGTACCTGAGGGTGGGCAGTATGTGGTGGGAGTATAGGACTCCAGAGTCCCCTCTACATTCTCCATGGCCCTCAGGCCCCAGCAGTCTGGCCCCTCGAACCCTGGCCCTGAGGCAGCGCCTCAAAGCATGTCTAACCGCCATCCACTGCTTCCACGAGGCTCGCCTAGATGATGAGTGCGCCTTTTACACCAGCCGAGCCCCTCCCTTGGGACCCACCCGGGTTTGTACAAACCCTGTGGCCACATTACTTGAATGGCAGGATGCTCTGGTAAGACACCAACCCACAGCCACACTGTGTCTGCATGGCAAGCCTTGGGGGTTGGGGGCAACCTGGGCTCCTTTGTGGAAGGGTTTGCTACAGTTCTAGGATGGCTGTGACAAAGTCTGCTTTCTCTCCAGTGTTTTGCTCCAATTGGTTCTGCTGCCCTTCAGCCTCAGGGCTCTCCATCATGAGGCATCCAACTCCAGCCACTGCTGTCCTGCCTGGCTTCTTACTTTTAGCCCTTATTTATTGTTTGTCTGCCCCATGGTACTGGGAGCTGACACCCTTTTGTCCTCTAATAAAGTTTCTAAAGTGTCTAAATGTCTGGCTAATGAGTTTTAAGTGTCCACATAGGCCAAATACTGTTGCTGCTCTCCAGTTGCCCACATGGTGGCAGTGTCTCCAGCTTAGAGGCCAGTCCTGGGCTCTCAGGAACCCCCATCTAGAAGTTGTCCACTCTGCCCAGCCTACCCCTCCAACAAGCTCTGAGTACCTTGGGGGCAATTGTAGGACCTGCTCTTGTTCCTTGACATCAGTCCCTCTTCCAGGAGCCATCAGCTACTCTTTCCTCGCCTAGAGCTCCTCTTGTAGAACTCCATCCATCAGGCAGAAGAGCAGATGCACCAGACTTAGACCTTCGGAATCCTCCCTTGCTAGTGTCACTCTAGCTGGTAGCTCCCTCTACCTACAGTGTGAGGCCCCAAAGCTCTCCTGAAACTCCTAACCAACCCTCTCTTTCCCTTACCAGAGTAGAAGCCCTGGGCAGCCCCCTTCCTTTCCCCCAGAAGCAGACCTTGCTAGGACCTTAGTCTTGATAGGGGAGGACCTTAATTGAACTTTAGTCTTGAGAGGGGAGAGGAAGGCTCAGCCACTTTCCCTACACTGCACCAAGTTAAGCAGCCACACACAATCCCCCAACCTAACTTTTATTAGAAGGGGCAACAGCTAGTTGCCCCCAAAACTAGCCCAGATAGGAGTGGAATGGGGAATATACAGAATGAGTTTTAAATGCCAGGAAAGAATTCACTGGTTCCTCCAGTTCACAGCAGAGTTGCCAAAGCTGGAGCCTGGAGTCTGAAAGTGGAGATGAGAGGAGGAGGGCATGGCGAATTGAAGTTGTCAGTTGTCACGACAGAGAACCAGCCCTACCCTGTCTTATTATCTCCTCTTGCTTAAATGTGCTCCTTCTGTTCTGTTTCTGTTCTTTCACTCTCAAGCTGGGGCTTCCCTTCAGTTTTCTGAGCCCTGACTAATAAAACTGCTCCCCATCTCCAGATAGAAGAGAGAGCCACGACCTCACCCTGCTCTGGTCCTGGCTTTCACAAGCACATACGTGGATGCAGGTGGTCCCTTCGGAAGTCTCTCGACTCCTCCTCCAGCCCGGCCTCCTCCCCTCCTCAGCCTCTTATACCCTTGAGCACCAAGAGTCCGCCCATTTAGGCTGCCTCTGGGAGCCAGAGGGTCCGCCCCACCGCCAGGCTCTCAAAGGATGGGGTGGTGCCTTGGGTGGGGCCAGCTGGAGACGCGCAAGGAAAGGAGTGAAGAGGCAAGCGGGGGAGGGGGTGAAATGGAGGTGGGGCCGGCCTCAGTCTGGGTAGATGATGAAGCCGGAGAAGGTGCTGTACTTGTTGGTGTTGCCGCCGTGCACCTTCCCGCCGTCCAGCTTAATGAAGACCTCGTCTCCCACATCCAGGTGTAGAATGACGCTGTTGCTGGCGTAGTCATAGTTCTGGTCCGCATCCTGAGCAATGGCGCTGGCACGGACCTATCAAGAGAGAACAAGACAACCGGCTCATGCCCTGTGCCGAGCTGGGGTAAAGAGAGGAGTCGGACCAAGTCGCCCGGCTGCAAGAGCAAAGGCTACAGGCAGCGCTGGAGGGCAGCTAGCTGCAGGGCCCCAGGAGCCCAAGGAGAGGGTAGGAGACCGCTGAGCTCATCAGGCTCTGCCATCCACTAGCCGTATGACTCTGGCAAATTTCACACTTTCTCTGGGCCTCAATTTGTGCTCTAAGTGAGGGGGAGTAATACAGCCTACCTTGGAAGGTTGTTAGGATTAAATGGTTTACTAGAAGTGTGTTCAAAACAGTGGCTTGCGCTCGCTAATCATTATTTTCATTTTCAAAATAAAATTAGCCTGTAGGATAATTTCTAAGATTCCATACCTGCTCGGGCTTCCTGTTAGACCTAAACATGGGTTCCATTCCCCAGGTGATGGGGATGGGGCATAGGTGTGTCTGTGTGTGTGTGTTACAGAGCGCTGGCCGTCGGAAAGTGCACTGTTGGGCTCTTGACTCGGATGCTGATTTCCCTCTGGTGCTCCAAACAGGAGTCGCCATCCCTGAACAAGGAGCTGGGTCCTCCCCTTCTGCTCATGGCAGGCAGCGGTTGCCTCGGCCTCCAGCCCCACTCTTCCCATCCCACAGGGGCTGGTTATTAATTCATTAATTATTTATCATTATTCTAATCACTATTTACCGTCCCCAGGGCTGCAACGCCTGCGTGGAATACAGAGTGGGAGCCGCGGGGGAGGGGGCCCTCAGAAACCAACACACACTAGTTACACATTCACCCACTCTGGCTACCCTGCATAGATCAAGCACATACACTTGGTGCGAAATGCAGATAGACACCTCCATTCTCACACCTTCATGCTTGCTCACACACTCACATCATGCATACACACTTTTATACTCCCTTACACACATACACTACCTCACCCCATACAGATGTACACATTCTCTCACTCCCTCTCCCCAGGTTCCTGGGATGATCCTGCTGGGAGGAGACCCCAGGCAGGTCTGGGGACAGGCAAGGACTGTTTAAGCTCCAGGCTTAAACAGGGCCAGGAGGAGCAGGCCTGGTACTCCTGGGTCACCACCACTCCCATCTCAGGGGGGCATTTGGAGGTCACTGCTCAGGCCCAACTTCCCCCTGCAGCCTGTGGGGAGGGGCTAGGCATCTCCCCCTACCCCATACTACCTCACGCTTTCTGCTTCTGGGTCCTGATATCTGGGTCCTGGTCCTCCAGCAGAGTCCTTGGGGCTACTATCCCAAATCAAGGTAGCAGTGACTCCTACTCTGTCCATAGGGGCAGGGAGTGGCATAACCTGGAGACTGAGAGGTTAGGAGGGAGGTTGTGGGGCCTATAGGACCAGGCCAGAGTCCAAGGCTTTGGTCCTACCTGTCTCTTTCTCAGCTACCTGGCTTGCTCCTGAACTGCCAGACCATTTCCCACCTCTGCCTACAGACTGGATTTTAGCTTAGAGTAAGACCCATTCTAGGCTCGACTGAGTGTTTTCTTTCTTTCTTACCTTTTTCTCAAAAATCCAAGCTGAATGTCCCCCACATGGGAACATCTGCTGACTGACCATTACTTGAGACATGGATTCCATCCTAATTTGAAGGAGCCTAGGCTCTAGGTAGTTCACCCAACACAAGGCTGGGAAACCCAAAAGTCAGTAGGATGGAGCACCAGAGGGAAATCTCAGAAGAGAAGGTAGCCAAAGAAAGGACAAGGAAAAAGGCTAACTGGCAGGCCCAGACAACCAAAGACATTTGCTGTGGTTGCCAATAGTTGGAGTGTGAGGTCACAGCTGCAGGGACATTAAGCTTTGAGTCCTGAGTCCTAATTCTGATACCGTTTCTAATGCTGTATAAGGCCTGGATAGATGGTTTTCTTCTCTGGTCCCCAATTCCATTTGTGGTAAATGAAGCAATTTGTGAGTTTTAGGCAGCCTCCATTCCTGGATTCAATGACTCCAGGGAGGGAGTCAGTGTCCCCTCTCAAGGGGCTCGAGTTGTGGGATGAGTGCAGGGAGATTTAGGAAGCTGTCAGTGGGCTCTGGGCTCTGTGGGGGGAGGGCATCTCACCTGTCCGTTCTTCATCAGGTCAGCCCACATGCTGGTGCCGTCGCCGCCGCGCATAAGCACGTGGTAAGCGAAGAAGTAGACACCCGGCATGGGGCAAGTGAACTTGCCGCTGGCTGCCTCATACGCGTTGCCCACGTTGGTCACCACGTCATCAAACCGCAGCACCTCGTAACCCTCATGAGGCCGCCGCAGGCCCGCGTAAAAGGCTATTCGAGGCACGTAGCCAGCAGGGGCAGCCACCCCTCCGGGGCCTGGGCCGGGAGGGCCTGGGGGACCTGGCCTGCCTGGCTCTCCTGGAGGCCCTCTGGGGCCTGGCGGTCCTGGGGGTCCCCGTAGGCCTGCCTTCCCGCGCCGGCCTCCTTCTCCCTTGGCACCCGGCGGGAAGGGGGGCACCGAAGCCGGCGCGCCGTCGGGGCCCGGGCCTCGGGGCCCATGTGGGTCGCACACCATACGGCAGCGACCCAGCATCTCGTAGTGCGCGGGCCCGCGGGAGCTGTGCACCAGCAGCGGAATGGCCACCAGCAGCAGTAGCACCATGGCCACCCCGACGGCCGCGCCGGCCACCCGCTTGCGGCGGCTCAGCCGGGACGCGGCCAGGGCCAGTAAATCTTCCTCACTCTTGGGCGCAATGGCTACGGAGGCCGGGGGCTCTCCGCGGGCCCAGGAAATAGTGGCCCGGCTTGAGCCTGAATCTGGATTTCCCCCGACGGCTGCACCCGTCACCCCCCCTCACCGCCCCTGCGGGCTCCCGCCTCAGCAGTGCCTTTCCCCAAACGTTCGTCAAAGCAGACCGAGGTACTCTAAGGGTTACGTCAGGAGCAGTTCCCGACGGTCCAGTGCCTGTGGTCCTGTATTATCCTCCTGTTCAGTCCTAACAGTCCCGGGCACCTGAGATCCGCGGCTTCTCGGACGGCTGGTTTCTGACAGATCTAGGATGACTTCTCTCCAGACAGCTTCTCTATCACGGATGGTTGTGAGCTATCCAGACGGATAGCTCCGGGCTAGAGGCAGGACTACTCCCAACGCTCCGGACGTCCCGGGCTTTGAGCTGCGGGTGGCGCCCACCGGACGCGACCTCCTAATAGGTTTGGCGCTCTGGCTCTAGGCGAGCACTGACTCACCCTCTTAGCCCAGGCGTGGCCCCAGCCCCTGCCAAGCCCTAGCCCGGCGTCTCTCTCCTGTGAGCGCTCTTCTTCTTTGCATCCCTAACCTTCCTCCTCTCCCTCCCGGGGCGGCAGTGCGGGTGATGTGAGTCGCGGCGCGGCCGGAGTCACTATAAGCGGCTGGAGACCAAGCGACCCCTAGTGCCCAGAGTAGGAAGTGCGGGGGCGGGGCCGGCAGCGGCCCCCATCTACGTAGCCCCCCCTTAGTCCCCAGGCCTCTAGGTTCCTTCCCCACTCTGAGCTGGTTCTGCGGGTTTTGCCGCCCCCTGCACTATGCTTACTTTCACCCTTTCCGCGGAGTTTGGCATACTCAGAGCTCAGAGGAAACCAAAAACAGCGGTGGGATAAAGAGGGGTCGAGATACGCACAGTGATAGCGGTAGATTCCCGAGCTAAATAAAGCCGGGGGTGGAACCTCAGAAACGAGAAACAAAACAAGAAAGGCTAGGAAAGATAAAAATTCGCCACCCCACGGCCCGCAATGCCCATGACCGAATGATATGGTAAAGGGTTCAAACCTATACTTGTTGGCCTGAACTGGAAAAGGCAAATCTCCAGCTACATCCACCCGTCAGTGTTGGGGGCGCAGCCGAGAGTGTGAGAGTGTGTGTGTTTGTGTGTGTGTGGGGGGGGGGGGGGAGAGAGAGACACAGACCGACCTGAAGGAGCGAGCAGGAAACAGACAGGAAAGCAGAGAAGGAGCGACAGAGAAATCAAAGAGACAGAAAGCCAGATAGAGACGCAGAGACAGAGACAAAGCTTGGAAAAGAGACTAACTGACAGCCCCCGAGGGGGAGAGGGAGAGACAGAGACGGAGAGAGAGAGATGGGAGCCGAGACAGGTTGACAGATCGAGGGAGAAATGTAAATGGCGTGCTGCAGAGAGACACCCAGGTCCGTGTTTGGACTCCAATGTGACATATCAACTGTGGGAAGATGCGGGGGCAGGGCTGTTCTGCCAGTAGAGTGGTAGGCTCTGGGGCCTGTGCATTGTGACAGTGTGCTGGAAGTGTAGAGGTGGCCATGGGATCCTGGCCTTGTGTGTTCCTGGGTGAGTGGGGTTGCAGATTGTGTTTCTTTGTGTATGTATATGTGAGTGCTGTTTGAAGGGATGGCTGTATTTGTCTTCCTCTGAGTCCCTAATTTTGGGATCCCCACGAATGCCATTTCTCCTACCTTATGACTGAAGAGCAGGTAGTCTGCTGGGGAGAGTCAGAAGACAGCAGTAGTCCTACTTGCCCAGTCCAGCCCAATGGAACCCACCCTGCCCCAGTCCTAGATCTGTCTAGCTCTCCTCCTTCCTCAAGGATTTATTGTTAGATGAGACCCAGAGAAGCTGGATCCCACACACTGGGTGTCTGGGGTGGGGATGGAAGTTGGTTATGCAAATTAACCATTAAAATGCAGATTAGGGGTTAGGCACCTTCCTTTAAGTAAGAAGTGACTGTCTTTCAAAGTGACCAAGAGGTAACACAGCTTCAGGCTTCGGTACATCAGTGCCCAGAGAAAAAGGTATTGGCTCCCTCCTTCCCTGCCTTGGCCCTCCAGGGGAAATTTCTTGCTCACTGGGATTTCAGAGCCAGAGGATAGAAGAAGAGGTTCTGAGGCTGGTTAAAGTTGGGATGCAAAGGCATCTTAGAGACTGTAATGCCAGGACTGTAACATGTGGGAATACATTGTGTGAAATGAAGGGCACAGGGCACACCAAGGCATGATGATTGGGTAGACAGTGATTTCTTCATCTTTCTTTTTCTGTACTCCTCTGCACCTCCCCCCCATCCCTTCACCTGTAATGATGAAGGAAGAGAGAGGTTGCTGAGGTTGGGCCTGTTTCATGGTGGAGGGGAGGCCCCTATATGCATGAAAGGATTGGGAAAGAAAGGATTGGCAGTCAGTGGGGGAGGGGCCTCCTCCTCCAACCATAAATACAATTTTTATTCAAGGTCTTTGTCGCCATTTGTCTTCCTTGGGGGGCTGAAGGCTGTATCAGCCCCGTGCATGTCTAATTCCAGATCAGCTCCCCCAGGTTGGATGATGGATGGATCAGAGAGAAGAGCAGGCCTGGGCTCACACCAGCCTCCTCTGCCTAATCCTCAGACCCCGTTTACCCCAGGTCCTGCCACCCTTCTGTTTCCCCCTGCCCTCCCTTTGCTCACCAGAGGGCTTCTTTTCATGGCTCCACTCCCCACCCCTCTGGTTCTATTCACCAAGAGCCCTTTTTGAGTCCCTCACCTCAGCCCCTTTTAGGTCCCGGCCTCTTCTCTCTAGACCTTCCCCTTTCCTCCAATCCCCAGCCAGGGCTGTGAGCTGCGGTGACCAGCAGGGCTGCAGGCTGCAGCGAGTGTGTGTGGTGGGGGAAGCCGGCATGGCTCACAGGGAGCTGAGGGGCCAGCTCCATGAATTTATTCATGTTCTGTTGCTCTTTCCCCACGCTCTGGAATGAAGCTGCCAGCTCACCAGGTCCTTATTGCTTCTCCTGCAGCTGTCACATTCAGCCGAGGAGGGACCTGGGTAGGGCCAAGGCCAGTGGGTGCTCCTGGGGCCAGAAGCCAGGTGTCTGGGCTCTAGGGAATGCTAGGGCCCAGTCTGGGGTCCAGGACAATTTACACAGAGGTCTTCTGGTAGCCAAACTGGGAGGCCCCTGGGAAGCGGTGGGGCTGGGAAGTAGATAGAGAAGGGTGTGCTGTAGGACAAAGGGGCAGTGAAGGTGGCAGACAGAGTTGGTGGGGGGGAAGGGAGGGGAGAGGAAGAATTAACAGTCTCCTACCCTCCCTCATTTAAAAACACAGCCCAGTCTGGATCCTGCATTAACCCTTACCCTTCACTCTGAACTAGCCCTGACTAACCCTAATTTATACTAATTTATACACTTGACTCTTCTTCAATCCTAAAATAAATTTTAGCTCCATAATCTGACCCTAGACGGAATCCATTTCCCACTGTCCTGGAACGCAGAGGTCTCCCCAGAATTTCACCTCAGGGCTATCGCTAGGTGTGTATCAGAGTTCTGAGGGCCAGACTTTGGATTAGCATGTGATTAGCATATGATTTGCATGTGATATGTGCCTTCTACTCTGCAGAAGTTTTCATGTTAAATTTTTATGAAGTCTAGCAAAAAGGTCCTGCCTCCTTGAAGGTTCTCTCTTTTTGTTCCTTCTCTCACACTTCTTGTCACTGACCCAGACCCCCTCAAGGGAAGAAAGGGGGTGAGGAGGTGAGCACAAGGATTCATAGAAGGGAAGACAATAGCAGTGACATGCCTCCATCACTCAATAAGCCTCAGTTTCCTTATCTGTAAGAGGAGAGAAACCTTTCTGGCTGACTGTTCCATTAATATCTAAGGAAGTGTTTTTTTCCCCTTGCACTCTTTCCTTCCTCTCATTCAGGGCCAGTCATGGTGTGGTTCTCCCCCAC